ATCCTCATACTGTGGATGCGCAAGCACACAAAGCTGTCCTCTAAAACAGGCACACCCACTCACAGATGCTGGAAAAAAGGATTTAGCCATTCAGGGCATCATCCTCCAAAGGAAAGGCAGCATTAAACCTGCTTTAGGCCACACTGACTTGCTTCTTTCCAGATTTGTCTTCACAAGCTAATGATGCTAGATCGTGAAAGTAGCTTCATCGTATGTTGAAAAGTTTATATAACAAATGACCACTTCTTTTGTCTGAAAGAATAGCCTGCTTCTCATAGGGGGTAAAATTAAATGCAAACATACTATTTCAGCAAGTCTCTCCCTGGACTATTACTTTTGCATTTCTTATTAGTAAATGTTTCACAGCTAACACATCCATCTGCCATTAAAAATACTGACAATAATATTAGGTCAAATACAAAGAAGCAAAAGCTGGGATATTTCTGACAGTTTAGGTGGTGATAGCCATTTAATATTGTATTATTTAAAGATGGACATGACACACAAGCAGCCTGCACATCTGTGAACAAAGGTCTGAAACCTGAAGGGTAAGTCTGTGGAAGAGCATATAAAAGTATCACCAGAACATATGCTGCTTAATCTCTTTTGTGTTTCTTTCTTGCCATTACCATGGCTCTAGTGAGAAGGCAGTGAAGTGGTACAAAGGGGCCAACTGTGCAACACGTTGCTTTCTCATCCAGTCGACAGACATTGCCCGCAAAAAGGTGAAAGGGGGATGATGTCAACCCAAAGCTGCAGAGAAGCCAGTTGAACTCCACACCTTGTAGCCTTTCATTGATGTAACACAGTACAGTGCAGCTGTTAATGCTGTGATTGCTGGGCAAGTGTCATGCTATAACGCAGCACCTCTTGGCAGGAGGTGTGCTGTAGCATGGGTTATGAATATTTATAATTACAGTCTGTTCTGTGGCAGAGCACAGTAGGAGGTTCCAATAGAGTTTACTTGAGCTGTAAACCTGGAGAATATTATATAGGAACCATATTAATAGTGAGTGTGTGTAGCTGTCTTCCAAGTGGACTTTTAAAAGTGGCCTTGAAAATAATTTAAAGCAGTCCTAATAGTATGTTTTAGATAACTCTACAGAAATGGGAAACAGTGTTTCCTGCACTTTTTAATTTTTTTTTTTAAATCCATTCTGATTGGTGAAGAAACTGTTCACACACAAAAGTCCCATGTAAAAAAAATACAAAGTCCATTAAAATACTTACTTCTGGAAGATTCTTATTAAAATTTTCTCCTGAGACTACAGATAGTAGTTGAATATTCAGAAGGGTCTGTCTCCACAAGAAGTAAAACATACTTTAAATGTGAGGAACTTACTTAAAACATTTTAGCACCAGGCTTGATGAGTTGCCTCCTTGAATTTCTGAGTTTTGTAATTTTGATATGGTCTATTTATCCAGCTGCCCAGAGAGGTTTCCATAAGAAACCAATTAAGTTTCAGATACACAAGAAATTACTACATTTTTTACTGCTTTACCGATTTGAGAGCTTAATTAAGTCTACAGAAAATGAGAATATTACCATAGCTAATTTAATTGTTCCCCTATACTGCATAATTGAAATACCGTGTGTGAACTGATTTAAAATTTTGACTGCACTTGAACTATATAATAAATAAATCTAACGTGGAAGTATCTCTGCTGAAACTAAGTCTCTAAAAACCTTCATCTTACTTTAACTTTTCTTTCCACATTTGTCTCTAAATATAGAATCACAGAATTGCTGAGGCTGGAACAGACCTCTGAGATCAAGCCCAGCCTATGACCCAACACGACCACATCGACCAGACCCTGGCACTAAGTGCCACATCCAGCCTCTCCTTAAACATCTCCAGGGACGGTGACTCCAGCCCTTCCCTGGGCAGTGCATCCCAGTGCCTGAGCACCCTCTCCATGAGGAAGGGCTTCTTGAGATTCAACCTAAATCTGCCCTGATGCAGTTTCAGGCTGTGCCCTCTAGTCCTGTCACTACCATAATTCTCTGGGATCGGCAATCTCTGCACGCATTGTGCCAGGTGACCCCAGTACGCCAGCAAACTGCTAGACCAGGAATGCAGCGTGTGGTACTGCCTTCACGCTTAGGATCTCTGAAGTGATGTAAGTCATTGTATTAAACCGACTGGTTTTGCCTGTACAACAGAATCTCTAGATAGGCTCCAGCTTTAAAAAAGAAAGAAAGAAAAAGACAAGTGGTGTTAAAACCATTTAGGTAGGTAAAAAAACCCCAAACACATATATGTAATAAGGTAATAAGGACCATATTTGGCACCATAAATTGTTTTTTTTTGTTACCTCCTGAAATCTAACAGGATCTGTATTGCACAGATCCGTGCTTTCTAGGGAAGTGCTCATGCCATCTGCTGGAAAGTTATGGAATTAAGCAAGTAATTTTTCCAGCAGCATTTTATTTTGCTGGATTTTGGATGTTAAATTCTTGCACTTTTTCCTTTGTAAAGGTCTGTACATAAATGTAATATAGCTCAAAGTCACTTAAGTCTGGTGATTTGGGAATTTTGTACACTAAGAAAGTATTTAAAAAATTACCAGTGTAATTTTGTACTGATTATGTGGCCTTAACCCTTCCAAGTGAAACACCAACTCAGTTTATCAAGTTGTTTAATACATAAGACTTGTTTTCTCCCCTCAGCTGACTGGTTAATGATTCTAATTTTATTATGTGGTTGATTGTGCAAAGAAACAAATTAAAATCCAGTAATTTCCTGTAGATTACAGAAACATGAAAATCTTCTGCAGATGATTCTAGATTTCAGGCCTGAAGGGTGAGATAATTCCACATTTTCAGTTCCTTTGACAAGCTTCCAGCTTGCACGCATCTTAGGCCAGCCTATAAATGCATCTTTAGACACTGCATAATTACAGGTGTCAAACATAATTTAAGATAACTATCTCATAAGAAAACAAACATAATTTTGGAGTTACCTAATAACTACATAAAGCATTCTTGTGCTTGTGATGTCCTCAGGCATCTTCAGTCTGCCAAGGATGGACAACTCAGACCAAAGCAGAACAGAGCATGGCAGAGAGGAGCAGAGAGCAGTTAAACTATAGGCACAGGAAGATCAATTAAAAAAACCATAAAAGTAGAGCATTGTATCTTTACATCACTTCATATTTTTTCTTGCACGAAATTCTGCTTTCCAACTATAGATGAACCTGCAAATGAATCAGCAAATGAGGCTTCTGCCAGTAAGAGCCTTGAATTATTTCCTTATTTACAAGGGTCAGAAGGTATACAATTAGAGAGAGACAGGGTAAGAGAAAGTTATGGTAAGAAAATACAAATATGTGTTAAATAAACAGTGCTAGCTGAGCTTAATAACCTGTAGAAAAAGTAGTAACCTGTCAAACAGTTATAAGTCTTATACAGGATAAATCTAAATCAAGACTGAATTTAAGAGTTTCCTTACCTTTTCCTTCCATTTAAAAACTTTTAGTTCTGTTAATTTTGATTGAGTATATATGTACTTTTTCTTTTGTTAGTGCAGTGTAATATGAATTGCAGCATTTCACATAATTTCAGTTCAAAGTCTCTGTATAACCAGCTTCAATTTTTCAGCACCCTCTATAATAAGACAAAACCTCTGGAAGCCTTTCTTTTCATCTTAGATAGCTGAGGTACTATACTCCTCTTTTCGCCTTTTTTAGCACACCTCCTGGTACTCTGAACTTTTATGGAAGTTACGGAAGTATTGGAAAGAACTAAAGTGAAAGATGTTAAATTGCTAAGTAAGTGATCATATTATAAAATACTTTCACAAGAAAACCCTGCTCCAGGAAAAAAGCCAACAAAACAAGGTTTTACCTGGTAACCATGGATAATAGTCACGTAAAAGTGTAGCTTTACAAACGTGTGGCTGATGTTTCACCTACTGTAATTGCAAAAGGGGGCCCTGGAAGATGTGTTACAAGGTTTAGCAGTTGTGAATTCACCACTCTTGCAAGAAAATCAAGTCATCATTTACATGAGGACGGGTCGGCTCCTGCTGCCTCCCTCACAGATACGCGCTGCCTACTGACTCTGTTTTTCTCCTTTACAACTTTATATCCTTTTACATTGGTACTTTCCCTTTTGGATCCTTGACCTGCTCCATAGTCCCATATCAATAACCTCATTTCTGTCTGCAATTTGACTTTTACCGTTTTGCATAACTCTCACAATTTAGTGAATTTCTCAGTAGCCCAAGCCATACACGTGCAGCGGGCCAGTCTCAAAAGCTTGCCCTTGGGTCACAGGCAGCTGAGTCCGTAGGAGAAGAATAACACAGCATGAAAGCTGCCCCAGCCAGCTCTCATCTTTTACTTTGTCCCAGGCGTTTCCGAAGACTTCTGCATCACTTGCTCCCCAGCTGAGCTTTCACAGGTAGGTTACGCAACCGCTATTGAAACGCAATACCCTCTCGGCAGACCTACCAGCTTCCACAGAGGTGTAATTCACACGGTCTCCCAGAGCGCCTCTGGGCTGCTCGGTTGGTTCTTGATAAAACATTAGAATTCAGCTGCAGCAAGGATGCAATAAACAGAAAACATGAAGAAACTCCTAATGTGAAGCTAAGGGTTACAGAATTTACTGTCTTCTATTTCTAAGGCTGTAAATTTTGTTTTAAACCGCGGCACTAAACAGCCAAGGAAAGGGCAACCCTTTCCCTATCAGGTTACACTTGTAATGCATTATTCATCATACAGAATAACAGAGCTTAACCGATGGTCTCTGAGAGAAGTCTCGAGAAATACACCATAGGAGCTGGGTAGCTAAGGTGCTGTTGAATTTTTCCAAGCAAAATATAATTCAGTCTCAAAAAACAGTTCGACAGCTTTTTATTTTCTTTTTTATTTTCTTTTTTTAAACATGTTGATTTTTTGAAAGAACATTGTAAAAAGAATTGATCATGGGCTTGACATCTGGAAGTTACACTTGATACAGTGCTTTTTATTATTATCATTACAAATGTCATAATATGTTTGCTGCTGCAACGAAAAACTTTGTTAAACAGGTTGGTGATGGAGGAAGACTAGTTCCAGTGCCCAGTCTCAGTGAAGCTGATAAATATCAACCTCTGAGCCTTGTGATTAAGAAAAGAAAATGTTCGCTCTCAAAAAAATCTAAATTTGCTTCAACGCCTTTCACATTAAAAGACATTCTACAAGGGGAGAAAGAAATTTCTGCAGGTAAGATTTCTGTTGTTCTTCAAAGCAGAAAAATGCATATTTTCTAATAAATAGAGAACAGTAGGCAGAGTTTAAACTGTGCAGCTAGTATGGTGGCTCTTTTGTACATGTGTAATATAATTTGTCTTGCTTAGTCATGTAAGAGATATTTAAGAAAAAGTGCAAGTCAGAGTGGTAAAAAAAAAGAAAAAGGAGGAAAAAAAAAAGGCTCACTGGAAAAAGTCTGAAAAAACCCAGTCAATTATACTAAAAACTTTGAAATTTTCTGAACTAATGTGAAACAAAGTCAGTTAAGCCTTGTGTTTTTTTCACAAATCACAACTATTTCCTGATAGATATATCAATGTATGTTGATTAATTCCTACTTAAAATTTATTTTTAATGTTCACCTTTCTATGTATAATATATCAGTTGATTCCACAAAAGGGTGACTCCAGGACACAAACATGATGAAAAGGATCGGAATCTCACTAAACATACTAGTCTTGCATGCAGGACAAGTCAGCTGGCTTGTCTAGAATGAAAAGAATTGAAAAAATCTCATTAAAATGTCTGAAAAAAAATTTGCTAAATCCTATTAAAATGTCTCAGAAGACCTTAGCGGTCTTTGCTCTAAAGGTTAGATATCATGTGCAGAAGGTATTGTCCTTTAATGCAAGCAAAGAAGTTTATAATTGAATCTCCTTTTTTTTATGTGACAAATAGGAGCATTTGCAATCTCCTAGCATTATGAAAAATACATAAACCTTTTTTTGTTAAAAGTAAAGACAAACAGGATTCATACTATGTGGCTTTACAATGTCAGTTTATTCTAAAAGATTCAAAGGATTTATTTTTTTTTAAAGTACTAAAACACAGATTCTCAAATGTCTTTGAATGCCTTTGGATGCCAAATCCTTGCATTCTACCTGCTCAATTCTTTTTTAATTGGCAACCAATATGTTCTAACATTTTTCTGTTAGCATAATTGAAATGTATTTAAAGCTGTAAAAAAGCATTATAAAAATGCTTTGGCACCTTGAAAGTGTAAATTTTCAAGTAAATCAGAATTAATCTATTGTTTTCCTTCAAAATAAACTGACATAGTCCCTGGAATCTTTGGGCACACGTGGAAAGTGTAGCAAGTCTAATTGTGCCATGAAATTTAAAGTTACTGGCGCACCCATGACTCAGGCATGTGTTGCAAAAATGAAGGCATGTGTTAGGGTCATTTGAACAGGATTCACTAACATTGTTCTATACGCAATGGCTTTATTTTTTTTCTAGTTTTAACGTTCTGTGTGGCCCCCACCAAGTCATTGTGTGTTTCAGAGCCTCTGTCGTTAAACACTGAACACACTGTCTAGTTTACACAAGTACCAACAGCATTTTTACAGTAAAAGTACTTTAGGAGAATAATGATAGGCACAGAAATGCAGAAGTAGCCCTAATCCCCATTTCATGCCCAAAATTTATCCCATGCAAGAGCATGGGCACAACTCTGTCAGAGAGGCACAGAAATCTTTCAGACCCCTCTTTCTACCAGTCATCAGCAGTAACACAGGTAATTAAGTGCTCAGCCTAGCTCTGAATTTTGCACTAAAATGATTAAGCACAGTAGGAACAGTATAATTTATTCTCTTCTTCCTATTTATTCTACTAAAATTTAAAACATCCTGTTACATAATTCTGCTTAAAAATGCAGCGCTCGAACTTTTCACCACACAATGGTTATCTTCTTTTGTTCAGGTGTCTCATCTTACCAGTTGCTGAACTATGAAGACAAATCAGATGTTTCGCTTAATGGTAGAAGAGGAAATCAGATAATGAATGATGTCGGTTTTGATGTTGCTGGATCAGATTCTGTTGCCTTTAAAGCTTCGTTTGGCATAGTGACCAAACATGAGGTTGAAGTACCAACATTGCTTAAAGAACTTACTACGAGGTTATTTTATATATTTTGTTTTCTGGTTCCATAATTATATGTCATAGAGTTAGATCGAACCTCTGAAATGCTTAGGTTTTGGTTGTTTTTAGCCAATGAATAGCAGTCGCTATCTGATACTTTCCAGGAGTCCTAAGTTAGATCATGGGGATTAGATGCTTGACCTTCTGTATAACACTGACAGTAGAATTTTTCTGAATTAATTCTTGTTTGAATTAGAGCACATCTTTCAGGAAAAAAAAAATCCAGAGAGGAAAAGCCCATCCTAAGTCCTATCCATGTTATTCTATTGAAAATTTGAACTTTACTTCAAATGACAGTATCATCTTCAGGATTTCTTTGCCTTTGTCTGATGCACTAGACCACCATATGTGTTATTTCCAATGATTTTTTGATATTATGACACAGCTTTTCCTTTGAAAAGCAAGGTAGGTTTATCTACTTGACTTTTCACCAGCTTCTATGGCTCTTCTCTGAATGCAGTCTCTATTTTTCTTGTTGAGCTGTGGACACTAAAACTGAACTTGATGTTCCTGCAGTGCTGGCACAAATGCCAAATACATAGAAATATGATGTGACTATTTCTAGGTGTAGTTCTCTAGTTGATATTTCAAGGATTATCCCTTGGCCACAATGTCATAGAATTGAATCCCAGTGTTTCATCTCAGTAAATTATTTACTTTGGATGATGTGAAATTTGATATTTTCATGTATATATATTGTTTCCCTGTAGTTATTTGCCAAGCAGTGCATGTCATTTTGTATCCATAGCCTCTCTCGTTCTGCACCTACCATTTCCTAGTTTATTTGTAACCTCATTAATAATTGGGGGTGGGGTAGGGGATAAAAATATTCAGTGTTATAGGCTAAGAGACAACACCTGTAGAAATTCTCTTATAAACACACTTGCTTCATGATTGTTCCATGTTTATAATTGATATAGCTTTTTCACTTATAATTGACTCATGTCGGTTAACCATTTTTTAATCTACTGAGTATATGTCAGCTTGTATAGGTATTCTAGAAACTTTGTAGTAGCCCAAACGTAGAGTGTTACAGGTATTTCTTTTACTATATATTTTTCATAAGTTCTCACTAACTGACATTAATTACATTGCTTAAAAAAAGTAAAAAAAAAGATATTTGTTAATTAGAATGTTGTTCCTTACTATCACTAAGAACAGTGTCAGATGGACAGAGCTGGAATTTTCCAGGATGTCGCACGTATTCTCACTAACATTTGTACATTACTAGCTTTCTTTGAATTTTGTAGTGCTTCTATTCTCAGATGCTGAAAATCAGTATTATATTTTCAAAGACCTCCACAGTCAGTTACTGCTATGAGTCAGAAGTTACAGTGATTTATTTACTGATTTAAAGTTACTAATTCTATCTGCTGCTTTGTAAACTGCTGTGAATTTGCTTCCTGCCTCCCTCCTGATTTTAGAAAAATAAACTTTGATCACTGTCTGGTACATCAATCAAGAAAAAGTAAGATGGAAATTCTGTGCGTGGTCATGGAAAGTATTAGAACTACGAGGCAGTGTTCCTTAACCGTCCATACTGGAATGCGTGGAGAGACAATGAGGGTAAATATGTCTGACAAAGTTCTGTAACTTACATGAACAAACATAAAAAGCTCATTTTTAGAAATTTTATTGTTACATCTAATTGCAAACTGAACAATGTAAATTGAACAAATATTTGTTCTGTTGTTAGTATTGCTTATGTGAGTGAGGGATGGGAAACGCCTGGCAGGATGGCAAAACACCAAGACGCTGCTTTGGGTGGAGCCTCAGCAAAAATGTGTAATTTACTACTTCTTAATTTGAATCCCCAAGAAATGCACAGCCGTTCTTTCATAATTATAATCATCTTCTATAATGCATTGGGACTGCAGGTGGTCATGATTTCAGGGGTTGGCATCTTACTCCCTGTCTTTTGTTCTTGTTTCTTCCTCCTCCCTTTCTCTCTTCAATGTATTGGAATAATTGAACTTGTAAATCTTCTGAGGTTTGCCCATTGCTAGTGTTTATAAATAATTCACATAAGTTTCAATGAGTGATACAAGTTAATTCACTATCTCTGTATCAAACCTTATTAAAATGCAAAGTTGTTAATATAAAGTTCTTTAGTTGTGAAATTTGATCTTCAACTTTAAAGTTTCCTCCTTTTTTCTTTTGTTGCTTTTCTAGTTTCACATCATTGAAGATCAGAACAATAAAGGGCGAGACAAAGCCATTGTTTTTCCTGCACATACAACTATTGCCTTTAGCGTATTTGAACTTTATATTCATTTGGATGGTGATTTTGGTAAGTGATGTGTGTTATTGTCATTACTGCTATTATTTATAAAGGTCTGAGTTTTTAAAAGTATTCTTGCTCTTGATATACATACATCCCGATCACATACAATGGTATGTCTTAATTTTATGCACGAGTACTCTGACTTTCTAAGCAAAATATTTATTGAAAAGATAAAAAAGGCAGGTACTAGAAAAATGTCTGTTATGGAAACATTTTTTTAAACATTAAATATGATTTTGTAATTTTTTTTAATCCCATGATGGCCTGGAACAGAAAAACCACTTTTGTATTTCTAGCCCATAAGGAACAGGTTTATGAGACCATGTGGTCAGTTTTACATAAATTAGGCAAGTAAAAAGACCCAAATAAAGAAGAAAGTGTGCAGAATTTCTAAGCTAAGCTAAATTTTTTTTTCTGTTGGGGCTTTAATTTCAGTCTGATACATGATTACCACATATGGATATCTGAAGATATTTAGGAAGAAATAATCACAGTTACTGAAAACCAATAGGAAAAAAAATGCATAGGTCCTGTAATTTTTTCTCCTGTTGGAGAAAGGATAGCACTTACATATTTGCATTAATTAAAATGTAGCATATAAAATTATCAGTGATGTTATCAATATTTTTTGTAACGAACCAGGAAGACGATTTTAGGATTTGATCTAGTACTTGATAATATCAAATGCAAAACTTCTACCCACAAGAATAATGCTTTGACCACGAGGTTCACATGTACTTAACTACTACAATCTCAGTGAGCATCCCTCTACTGTTTCACGACTTGCTTGACTCTCTGCAACATTGTGGCTTTCTGTAAAGAGCAAGAAAAAAGACCTGGTTAGGGAAGAAATCTGTATCTGCAGGGCAGCATTTACATTTTGAAAGTTGCAAATAGCTCCATGCCCTCTGTCATACACAGTCTAAACCTTTCACGACAGGAACTCCACACTGTAAAGCTCCTTTTCACTGAACTGTGAAATACCTTCACCCTTCTCTAAAAAAAACTTTAAAAATACTCCAGGCATAATTACTGGATTAAGAGTAAAAGAGATAATACAGTGTGGTGGTTCTTTAGATTAACTTCCATAATCGTCAACATTAATTTCAGTTTTGGAAGTGTTTATTTTACCTTTATGCAATGGTGGGTACATGCACATGCTAAAGTCATGATCAGTGAAGCTGACACTTGTTTTAAAGAGAATTCCCAAATGAAAAAGTTTAAAACCTTTTTTTTCCAGTTTGTTGTAATTTATTATCCTTATATTTCACTGTAAAGTTTTTTTTCATGTTACGAATAGAAATTTGAGAATTTTTTTTTAAAAAAGTTTCAGTATTTGATTTGGTGTTGAAAGATGTCTACAGAACTAACAGCCCTACTTAATTCTCGTATTTCGTTTCAGATAAAATCATAGAAATGTTTCTCCTTCATAAGTGGGATTTCCATTTACATGATATTGACTGTCTTAGTCCCTTAATATGGCCATAATTTGTGTAAACAAACAAAAAAAAATCTCTGATGACGTATGTTGAAAGCCACCAGCATTTTAAAATTCCTGTTGGATCTGTCACTTGATCCTATCGGCCATTACTGTGTGCAGACTTGTGTACATCAGTGGTGGTGCTGCAAAGCTGAATTTAATAACTGTTACCTTTATAGATTATAAAGCATATGAAACTCTGCTGTGCAATTATTGCTTTTATATTTCATTCTTGTAAAAACTTAGTTTTAATTTTTACAGAACTCTGTGTGACTCCGATTTCAAAAGGAGGATTTGAAAGAGAGAAATCTGGATCATCTTCCCTGACCAAATTAAGGACATTAAAGAATAATCTGTTTCATCGAAGTATGACTTTTGATATTTAGATCCAAATGTCTTAGTTAATGCATGAAGAGTGTAGCTTTGTTTCTTTAATTCCTGTGCAAGGTGAATGTTTAAAGAAGAAAATATCGATGGAAAATGTACCTTTGAATTTCTTGTGTATTTAAATTACAAAGTTATTAAACTTAAATTACTAGGTTATTAAAATTTATATTTGAGAATCTGACTCATAAACAAGAAATTTACGTTATTGCTGTTCTTTAAAACGCTAAAGGTCTTAAAATAAAATTTATGGCTGATGATAAACTGGTATGGAGTAATTACACAACTAACTTCAGTTAACATCGAGCCTATTTCATATGCTTGTCATTTTCAGCTGGGTTATGCAACACAAGCCATTACGTATAAATAATATCTCAGAGCAAACTCCTTAAGTATCAAACAATGTTAGGCTATATTTTTGCATGACAGAGGCCTGGGCGAGATACCACCCCAGTTCTCTTTTCTCATTCCAATATGAGCACAACATCCAACAGAATCGAGCTGTATTTTCTTCAGAACAAGATCCTATACTGTTAACACTCCTTGGTCTGAGTATTTCGGAAACCTGCAAATCCGAGTGTGAAGATCAATGTGGAGCAGCAAATACATCCTCCTGAAGGTGTCCTTGCTCTGTTGTATCCCATTCTTGATCAATGGGCTTTTATGGACCAAGCCTTCAGTGCTGCTCCAGCCCACATTAAGGGAATAAACCTCCCGTGGGCAGGATACGGCTCAGTAGATGCAGCTGCCTAAAAGTTTGTCATCCATTCTAAACTAATCAGTCCCTGAAGAGAGAGGACAAGGTAGGTTGTTCCAAAAGGTATTTCTTCCTGGGGTGTGTGGATGTTTGGCTGTTCAGAAACCTGCTAGTAGGTCAAAATGGAGCCCTCCAATATTTATTATACCTTTCAAGTATTGGTGGTTTTTGTCTTTTTGTAAATACTAGGAAATGAATTTACAGTTTTTTAAAAAAACCCCGAGAAATGCAAAAATAAAAATGGTTAAACAGGAAAGTATGCAGCTGTGACTTGTCACCAATTTTTCAATAGCTTGCCTCATGCTTATCTTTTAGATGTATTTCTAAAAGCATAATTATATAGATCATATACAAAAGAATCCTGGCTTTTGTCAGTGTCTTTTGTGAAATTAATGAAAAATTTTCATCATACAGGACTTTTGATGGGAAGTAATCTACAATGTAGCATGTTTAGAACGGTTTCATGGATCAGTTATTTCCATAATTAGATTGACATATTGTTTTGTAAAGAGATCCTAATGTAACGACAGAACATTGCTTCTTTTTTTGTGCGTTCTTTTTCAGATAAAAGAGTAGTGGGTACCATTGCTAACTCTGATGCTTACTTGGAGGACCTTTTTACAGATTATTACGAAAAAGCTGCAAGCATGACTGATCTTTCTACAAGCTATCTCAGAGAAGGGTCTCACATCCGAATTAATTTACTTAATAACAACATCCCCAAAGGTCCCTGTGTCCTTTGCGGAATGGGAAGTTCTAAAAGGGAGACAGTCTACGGATGCCTGGAGTGCTCTTTTAATGGACAAAAGTATGTGCGACTGCACGCTGTGCCCTGTTTCGACCTCTGGCATAAGAGAGTGAAGTAACTGAGCTGGGTAAGTGCCTGCTGTCACAGACACGGGCATAACTGTGCCACAAACTTTTCAGAATTAGTAACAATGACTCAAGTTGCTGAAATGCGAGCTAGTGAAAGTGCAAACCATTTTATTACACTATTATTTTCAAATTATTTGCTTCGAAAAATGCCCTCATGCATTCCCTGACATTGCTTTTCTTTTTTTCTAGAATCTTCTCCTTTTATTATCATGATAACGAAAAATGTACTTTTAGTCTGTTGTCATAATGTCAAAATATATGCTAGAACTTACTTTAAATTGTTTACAAAAATTTGTTAAATGTCCAAATGTTGCCTTTAGCTACACTGGCATATGATGGTAAAATGAGAATATTTGTTAATAATTTAGTGTTCTCATGAATGTTTAATTGATGTATCAGATTAAAAAACATGCTAAAACTTAGCTTGGTCTAATGTTTCATTTACAAAAGGGAACAATTAAAACTAGGGATCGGCATTTCATATTAGGATGCCATTACCACATGTCAACGGATGTTTAGATTACTAAAAAGAACCAGCCAGACCACCTTCTGCATTTGGATTTTAGGGCACAGCTGCTCTTGACTTTTTCTTTTAGGCATTAAGAAAAAAAAAAAAAGACTTAGCAGAAAACGTTTTGGAAGCTTACAAAGATAAAGAACTACAACCTTCCAACAAGACTTCAGGGGTGAAGGTCTTTAACTGGTAGATCTCAAACCACGGGAAATTAAGCCTGCATTGTTGAGAATATAAACACCAGAGGGCACTATGGAACTGTGTCCAACACACTGGGCGTGCTGGGTTAGTATCCTGTTGAAGCTCTCGCACTGGTATTTTAAACTAGGAAAAGAAGTGAAGACTGTTTTTGTATCTTTTAGAATGATTTTATGGATAACCGTTTAACAGTTACTTTGCTGAGTTTCTCTTTTCCGCTTTCATTTTACAGGGGACTGATAAGTATTCATCAATTTTGTTCTAACAATGTCAACAGGTACTGGAACCGTTTTTGTGAGCTTGATAGTACAGAAGTAACTTTTCAGCAGTATTTTAAACAGCGAGAAAGACTACTGAACAATGCTGCAGATTAGGACTTGACACAGGAACCGCTAATAATAGATCACGGTGTTTTCCAATTTTATTTCTTTTCTTTTGAAATATCTTGAAACATTTCAGTAGCTGAATGTTAAAAATAAGATTTTTACAGTCACCTTAAGAGATATAAAAAGATGCCACTATAAAAAAAACACAAAAAATTATGTGACAAAGTATTATTATTTAAAATTCAGTGTCCAGAAAACAGGCAAAGATTTTTTTTAAGTACTCAAAGTTCATCATGCTGGTAGACATTGTACTCCTTTGCTGATATGAAACCATCTCCATCATGGTCGTTCTTCTTAAATATATCAGTTAAGATTTCATCATGGGCAGAGGGATGACGTTTTTTGCCATCTCTTGCAAATTCTTCTTTCAAATACTGGCTTATCTAGAAGAAAAGAAAAAAAAATCCAAATATTGTGGCTTTTCTGGCAGCACTCAAAAGCTAGCTTCAAGGACACTTGCCATCTACATGTAAATTACTGTGACTCCAGTGCAGACATGTCCAAAGTTTGTTTCCCAGTAAGTCTGAGACATATTAATGCATTAATCACAGCAAATTTCAATGTTGCATGGCGTAGTGTGTGTAAGCACACAAAGGCTTTACATGATGAACTGCAACAGAAAGATAACACTGATGCAACTATACCTATAGTTTTATAAATTATTTATTCCAAAGTAGTTACAGCATATTACCTCAAGCTCAGAGAGTTTCTTGTCATTGTCCTTGTCAATTTGATTAAATGCTTCAACACTGCGAGGTCCCTTATTTACTGCATAAAGTTCAATCTCAAAGATCAGTGTGGCATTGGGTGGGATCTTGCCCTGTGCTATGAACAAAAGAAAAAAGTATTTAAGAAATCAGACACTATGGTCAGAGATCATACATACGATAAACTCCCGTGTAAAGTGTCTTATTTTCTTATTAAAAAAGATTGTGTTAATATTCAGATTAAGCTCTGAATTTAAATATTGTACAGTTAGACCAGAAGCTTGTTCAGATGGTGTTAGATTTTGAGAGATTCACAAATAATATACTTCCCTGAAACAAAATCATATTGGCTCATATTAATTCAAGTACTTTTAAAAATAAGAGCAGGTTTTGTGTTACCATGAAAAACAATATTTCTGAAGTTCTCACTTTCACATACTGTCATATGATGGGGCTTATTGAGAGACTGATGCCTTCATTAAATATCTGCAATTTGATTTAAAAGATTACAGTAAAGAACCAATGCTCATGTATTTTTTTTTCTGTCTGAAGAAACAAGAAGGCAGTATCAGCTTTTACCAACCTCCTGTGAATTATACTTATGGTTAAAGGACTTTATGGAAAACAGTGTTCAAAACATACAGCTCGTTACAAAGAAGCAATAGAATGTAAGTCATTTGATTCACACACAAGAAAACCCCAAACAATCCAAACCAACTACTGGAATATTCTCTCTGGTCCCTGAAGATTTTTTTATTTCATTACTCCTTTGTCAAAGCATTTTCCGATATCCAGTGTAAAAACACCACTGCCTATAAACACAGGTTATTGTATCAAGCATCTGGCAGAGAAAAGGTGAACTGAAGAGAAATAACAACGAACTAATGAAGTCTAAAAGTAAAGCCAAAAAAGCATCAAGAAACCATGCAGTGAATAATTAAAACATAAACATGCAAGTTGCTTCTATCCACAGACAAAGCCAGTGAGCATGACAGTGTGACCTCGGTATTTTGACAGAATTTTGAGCTTGTGCTCATCCTTCATAAACTGAACAAAAAATGAATCTACTTGTTTATAAACACAAGGTAAACAAAACCATTACTCATGCTACTCATCTAAAATATTCATAGTAAAAATGACAGGTTTCAGAGTTTAAAAAAAAGTAATCCTACAAGCTTAAAAAATTTACAAGTTTGAAATATATCCGAGTTTAAACTATTGGTTATAGACTACTTATGTCAAGTTCAGTGCCAGTAGTTTACAAATATACATACCAACAAAGGAAAGATACGTAAAGATTTAGAAAGCCACATGCATCTTTTCTAATTCAAGATTTAAGCAGGCATCTTCCCCAGCATGCGAGTACGCTGAGACAGAGGACAGGTATGGTGAGGAAAACAGTACTTTCTTGAAGTGCTACCTAGAACGAACAGTTAAGAGTTAAAGAACATATGTTTATTTATGTGTGTTTTTTATAGAGTATGACCTACCTCTTCTCAGAAACTACTACACCCAAGTCAGAGCTGAATTTAAGTTTTCTACAGTTAAGAGTGCTGAAACACTGCATAAAACTCTGACTGCAACTACTTTTTTAAAGTAGGCTGCACATTTAGGCATCATAAAATCAAATCAGATTTCATGCTGTAATGTTGCAATTATTATGTAATGTGATGATATCGTCCCTTAACTATCTGGAATGTAAGCAGTATTTTAAACAAATTATTTCTACTTAGGTTAATTCTGTGGCACGCGCTGGATTACATTCCATTTTGCTCAGAAGACACAGAATTTCATTAAAAGGCTGAGCAGGTAGGAGTCAAATAACAGGAACTGAATATGAATAGAGTCTAATAGATTAAGACAAAAACTGCTGATACGAACCATGAAGATCTTCCTTTTGCTGTCAATTTTTTTGTATTATGGTAATACTTTGAAAAACATATCGGGTGCCATGTACTGATCTATAATGCAAACTGCAGGGCCCGGGTGTGGGTCTATGATGAGGACCCCTAAGCTGCACAGGAATGAGCAGGATTAGGCTGCACAGCTGCAGGCATCGCCTGCATCAGTGCCTCCAAAAATAACGGAGAACCACTCGTTACAGTTATTTACAACACTGTATGTTTGAATGGGAAAAACAGAGGAAAGACAGAGTTTAGTATTAAAACTTCTTCTTTACCATATCCTTGCTGTCCATATGCTAGTGATGGAGGAATGATCACTTTCCGTTTTTCTCCAGGGCACATATTCATCATAGCAATATCTAACCCTTTTATGACTTGTCCAACACCCAGAACGAACCATTTTGGATGACCTTCGTTTTGCGTCCGACTGTTGAAAAGAATTGTGAGTGGATAACAGTGAATTTAGTATTTTATTTTTAATACAAAAATAATTTTCAGTAGTAAAAATATACATTAGATTATTAGAACATAAGAATGTTTAGAGTGCAAGAATATAAAGTATTAACACTATTTTTCTGATACATTTATAATTGATTTAAGATCAAATCCTGAGATGTGTAAGGGGAAACCTGTTTGAAATAAAAAAAAAAAGTAAAAAACTAACTTAATTCAAAAACATCTGATCATATACACTGCATGCCAGAAACCAGATGCCACTGGAAGAAGTCTACGGGGAGAGCTGGGAGCAATTTGCTGCTAGGAAGTGAAAATATCTTCAGCAGGTCACATCCCTGTCGGGTGAGATGGGAAGGAGCATGCACAGATGTGCTGGGGGAATCTGGCAGTCTTGGCTGCAGTCACTTCAATGGCCAAAAAAATGCAAGTCAAATGGGACTATTAAGTGCAGAATTACCCTCTACTGATTTTTTTATTAAATGATACAACTGCGGGGAACGACTCAAGACTTTGTAATAAACCAGGCCACTTGTTTGTAAGATCTGCCTAAATATGAGTGAGGAACAAGCCAGGTATCTGAATTAAAGACTCTCGTCCACAATTCTGCACAGGTCGAGTCCTGCCTCACTCATAGGATGCGCCACCCTTAAAAGCAAGGCGCTGTAAAAATACAGGTTTTGCACAACAGTTACCGTGCAAAGCAAATAAACTAAACTGAAACTGCCTGAAGATAGATGGATGGGACTAAGTGAAAACCCAAAAGCCTAAATGCTAACGCAGGGGAACAGAGGAAGGCAGCACAAACCGAGGAGGGAAGCCGCAGCAGAGAAGGGGCATAAGGACTGCAAACCTCTCGTGTGATGCAGCTGCCCTGCACAACGCCAGCTACGCAGAAGCACACGCTCTACTCAAATTTCTGTCTATGAGTCTGTGTCCCTGCCAGGAGCTCCTTCTCCAAACTCCAGCTTTTCTCCACAGAGTACAGCACAAAGAACGGCAGGTGATAATACTATGGGCTTTCCCTAGCCCCGCAAACGGGGTTCTCCATGTGAGGTGCGGACTACAGGCTCTCAGCGA